TGTTCACTGCAGCATTATTTACAATAGCCAAGATATGGAAGCAACCTAAGTGTCCATTGATAGATGAATGGATAAAGAAGATGTAATATATATATATAGGAATATTACTCATCCATAAAAATTTAAAGAAAATCTTGCTATATGCGACAACATACATGAATCTAGAGGGCATTAAGCTGAATGAAATAAGTCAGACAGAGAAAGACAAATACTGTATGATCTCAGTTGTATGTGGAATCTCAAAAACAAAACAAACATAAACCAAAAACAGATTCAGATACGGAGAAAACGTGGGTGATTGTCATAGGGGAGGGGAGTGAGGTTGGCGAAATAGGTGAAGGGGATTAAGAGGTACAAACCTCCAGTTTAAAGTAAATAAGCCATGAGGATGTAATATACAGCATAAGGAATATGGTCTATAGTATTGTCATGACTCTGTATGGGGACAGAGGGTTATAAGACTTTTATCATGGTGATCATTTCATAACATATGCAAATGTCAAATCACTATGTGGTACACCTGAAACTAACATAATATTGTACGTCAACTAGATTTCAATTTTTGAAAGAAGACTAAAGGTCTGGGACTCATGGAAAGCTATCTTACACTGAAACAGTGTTTAAAACAGACCATCCTGCGTCATTCTAGAAGGACAGCCTGTCAGAGGGCGACTTACAGCTCATGGCCTGATGCTAGGGAAGCCAGACTACTGAACTAGCGGACTCATTTCCGACTGGAGCAAAGCAAAATGCCTCAGAGCCCCAGAGGGCTCTCTGTTCTGTCAGCTGTCAACATTCACACTGTCTGTATTCGCCTGTGCAGGAGCGTCAAGAAATCATGGGTCTTGAGCTGCCACTTGCTGACAGAAACGCAGCAGGCTTTGCCCAACAACGTGTTACGAGAACAGTCTCGGTAGTCGGTGCTTCAGAATTTTCCAGAACAGTGATAAATAAGTTCCTTAAGGTGCTAAATCCCAGGGACCCTCTGGGGCAATTATTTATTTGAAATGCTAGACATGGGACTGAGAGGTTTTATTTAATATTTAAAAGTATAGGTAGTCTCTTATATAGGAAAAAAGTAAAGTTATACAACACAGTTCCCTCAGAGTCTCATCTCGTAGCTGTCCCACTGACTGCATGGGGATTTTCCTTGACCAAAAAAGTATCACTACAATGCTTAGAATTTTATTTTTAAAGAATGCATGCCACGAACTGCCTGGGTGGTACCTAACGCCAGAGGGTTTTTTTTGCATTTCCCCAATTTTGTTTGAATTTGTAAAAGGTGGATTTTATTTTTAGAGTAGTTTTAGGCTCAAGCAAAACTGAGTAGAAAATACAGATACAGTTTCCACACACCTCTTGCCCGCTCCCAGGCACAGCCTCACCCAGGATCCACATCCTGCATCAGAGTGGTAACTTTGTTACAATCCATGAACCTACACTGACACATCATTAGCACCCAAAGTCCACAGTTTAGAGTTTACTCTTGCTGCTGTGCATTCTGACTTTTGACAAACGTATAACAATATAACAACGTGTATCTACCATTAGAGCATCATACAGAATAATTTTGCCCTAAAAATCCCTCTTCACCCCACCTCTTCCCCCTTAACCCCTGAACAACTACTGACCTTTTTACTGTCTCCATAATTTTGCCTTTTCCAGGATGTCATATACTGGGATCATATGCATCCTTTCCAGATTAGCTAACCCTGAATGTGTAAGATCAATATCAATTAATAAATAAATCACTTATTAATCAATAAGTGCAAATCACTATACTGAGAGCAACTTACAGTCTTGGTTATCACTGTTTTCGCCCCATACAGTTTGTTGAAAGGATAAACAACCTCCTTCTCTGATTAAAAAAAAATCAGGACACTAATAACAGTCAGTAATAGTACTTAGAACTTGGTATTACTTAGAAAAAGAAATGATAATGATATTTACTCTGAATAAAGAACAGCTTGTGGGCTTCCCTGGTGGTGTAGTGGTTAAGAATCCACCTGCCAATGCAGGGGACATGGGTTTGAGCCCTGGTCCGGGAAGATCCCATATGCTGTGGAGCAACTAAGCCCGGGAGCCACAACTACTGAGCCCATGCACCTAGAGCCTGCGCTCCGCAACAAGAGAAGCCCTGCTTGCCGAAGTCTGTGCGCAGCAATGAAGACCCAACTCAGCCACAAATAAATAAATTAAATAAAGTTTTAAAAAATGCTTAAAAAAAAAAAGAACAGCTTGTAAAAATAAAAGTACAAACGCCAGACTATAGCTCATGAGATGCGACTCAGGTCTCAATATTTTGGTAACTTTTAGAATTCTTACTTTTTTCAGTTTTATTAAGATATAATTGACATACAGCACTGTATAAGTTTAAGGTGTACAGCATAATGGCTTGACAGATATATATTGTGAAATAGCTACAACAATAAGTTCAATTAACATCCATCACCTCATATAGTTACAAAAATTTTTTTTCCTTGTAATGAGAACTTTTAGTATTTAGTCATCATGTTGTACATTACATCCCACTTTTAGAATTCTGACTACATCTTCCACAGAGTGGGATTTTGCCAGTGATGGTACAGTTTAAGTGAAAGTTAATATTTAACTTGATTTCAAGTTCTGTATTTGGGGCTCCCCTTTGAAAACTCCCCAAATTACCTGACACTCCCCTAGGCAGGCAGATCCAGAGTGTCTGGGCAAAGCCAAATATAAGGAGAGGCTGATCTCATGGATCTGTTATGCCTTGTCCCTATTTCTGGGCCCCAGGATGACCTTCGCTTTTTTGACAATAGAGCTACACTGCTGAGTCATGTGTAACTGAAACCCTTGTCTGCAGTTCGTCCTGCTTCTTGCTGGAATCCAGAAAACCTAGACAAGGGGCAATGTTCTCAGCAGGATAATGGAGGGAAGGAGAGGTGGGTAAGAGGCATTCAGGAAATATAAAGACAGAAAGGAAAATTTGGGCCTAAGTGATAATTAGCAAGAGGTAAGTCCAGAGAAACTAAGGCATGGATCTGCCTCCTTTTATATAATTGAGGTGTTTACAAATTTGCCTGTAAATCAACTTACATTTCAAACGCATCAGGGGAACTGACATTTAGGGGAATCTGGATATGGTTCCTTTTGCATAGTAAAGCATTTGTCTGTAATGTTAATACTCACTTTCTAATCTAGCTGTATTATATTGATACTCCCTTACGTTGGCTGTGAGAGAGGACTGTAGGTGTCTCATCAAAGCACCTTGCCTAGCAGACAATTAGGCGGAACAAATACACTTCAGGCTGTCCAAATACTCTGCCTGGTTGTAAATATGCCTTCCAGTTGGAATGATTAGGGGAGGTTTTGGTAAAATTTGAGCTAGGTTTCGAAAGTTAGGTAGGATATTGGTGAAGAAAGAGCAAGGACTTTGCAGGCAAAGGAAAACCCTAGAGTAGAGCAAGAGTTCCAGTCAAACAAGCTCAGTTGGCCATAGAATAGATGAGAGAGAAAACTGGAAAAGACAGAGGCTCAGATGATAGGCTGGGGGCAGGGGGAGGGGGGGGCCGCGGGGGCGGGGGGGGAGGTGCAGATGAAGAGAAGTTTAAGGCTAAGGAGTTTAATTTCACTTAGGGAGAAATTAGAAGCCTTTAGGCAGGATGAGCTGATATAGAAAGAAACAGAGAAGGGACACCAGTAAGGTCACTACATATCGAGAACCAAGATAAGGGTCTTTAGGATGGTGGCAGTTGGAACAACAAAAGGTCAATTCTAGAGACTCAGAGCTTAAGAAATTGGCCCCCATCTCCATCATCCACTCAGTGCTCCCAATAATACATTAATTAAACCCCTGTGAATAAAGCATCTTTAATTACCTGCTTTTTGTATTAATCTGTAACATACAATACTGCTTTGAAAAAATATATGAGCTATGCAAATTAAAGCTTTAAGACAAATTCCCATCTTAGGACAAGATGGCTGTCTCCAAGCCCTCATACACTTAAAACCTCCCACTCCCAGGGCTTAAATTAGATGTTGGGGAGACAAAGCTAAGGACAAAACCTAGATGTTGGCTGACTGAGAGAATGAAAGCCCCTGGTCAGTTTCAGTCTGAGGCCGTGTTATCCAGGTGAGAATCTCCAGCAGCATTTAGAAATTCAGATCTCAAGCTGTTTACAGTTTAACAGTGTTTCACAAACAAGGTAAAAATAACTGTATATGTGAAAATGCTCTGTAATGTGATAAGTGCCATTTGAATCTTCATCTAATTTGAGATTTTATTCTTGGGTCACAGATGAATAATAGATTCGAATGCTCCTTGTTAAAACAAAAAACCAAAACCCCCCAAAACCTTGCACTACCGTATTACAACTGAGTTAGCCTGTTTTCAGCATATCTGCTAAGGAAAGAATTCACCTTGATCGGTAACAAAAAAGGTGGACAGATTGAAAGGAAGCAGATCCGGGGAACTGATCTCCAACAAGGGGAATCATTTCGGGAAATTCAGGGGAGGGTCAGGGTGCCAGCGATATGGAGGGCAAGCCCGAGGGAGGTTTGAGGTCCAGGGTGGACGGACTGGAGGGCTGGCCATGTGGAAACCCGCCCAGAACCTTTCCCAGACAGGACATCACCCCAGGACGACAGGGAAAAAAAGGGGCAGCGGACCTGGGGGCGGAGCACCCAGCCTCTTCTCGACCCAGAGAGCATCCAAGCCTCCCTCCCAAGGGAGGAGACCCCTCAGACAAGACAAAGGCTCCCCTAGCAGAAGAAGGGCCAGAGTGCGCATGCGCATTGCGGTCAGCGCCGCGGCCCAAGTCGTGAGAGGGAGGCGAGACCCGGGAAGGGAAGCTCAGAGAGGAGAGAGCCGAGAGGCTAGGATGGGCCGATCCTTGGAGCTCTCGCGCGCGCCTACTGGTGGCCGGAGGAGAACACGCCCGCGAGGCCTTACGGCCCACCCCTCCCCTCGGGAGGCTCGTGCTCCCGCTGCTCGCGCCTGCGCTGCCCGCCGGTCTCGGGAGCGCGCCCTCTTCGCTCGTGCGCGCGCTCGCAGTCTCCACCACCCACCAGCTCAGACACCAGCAGCAGCGCCGCCGCCGCCGCCCACCTTCTGCCACCGACACCACAGCCACTTTCTCCTCTGCTTCCCTCTACTGTCCTCGCCCTCTGTCGACTATCAGGTAAGTGCGAGGCTCCGAAATTTGCCTCCCCGTCCTCCCTCCTGCAACCCCATGCCGCCTCCCCTCGCCTCAGAGATGGTTTTCATGAGGTGGGCATTGGTCGGGGGCAAAGGCGGCGGCCCCTCCTTGCGCCCTCAGCGCTCCGGCGCCTGGATTGGGGCGACTTGGAAAGGGACCCATGCAAGGGATGCACGCGCGCGCGCGCGCGCTCGTGTGTGTGTGTCCTGAGGCGGGGGTTTTCTACACGACCCGCTTCTCGCGGACCCGTCAGATGTTGTGCCCACAGGGTGGGGCGCGGATGGCGATGATCTGGGGGAGGGGGCTGCTATGCACTCTCGAACACCGCCTTTTGCCGCAATGGGCGTATGACTGTGTGTGTGTCGGGGGGTGGAGGGGAGTCCGGTGACGACCCCCGAAACCGAACCTGTAATCCAATTTCTCTGCCTCGGTTTGCCATCAGCTCTAAGGAAGGTATTGATCGGGTTCTAGAAAAGATGACTGCCTGCCAGCCCCTCCCCGGCAGCGATTCCAGTGGGGCTTTCGCTGCCCTTGGTTTAAGGCGGTGGCCCACCCTCTCCTCGATTTCCTCCTTCAGAAACCCGCTGGGGACATTTGAGGGCTGGGAGTGGAATCGGAGAAATGGGGAGGGGTCCCGGCGCTGTCACTTTAGTCGCCCTTCCCCCTGCGCGCTCCTGGCACCGAGACGCAAGCAGCGCCGTGCCCGAGAGAAGACAGCGCGCGGATCCCAAGGTGGAGGCTCGAAAAGGCAGGGGTCACCTGGCCTTGCGATGTGGAAGGATTCGGCAGCTGCCGATCCCGGCTCGAGGGCGCGCACAGCCGCAGCCCGGCACCAGCCCGCTCAAGGGCTGCAGGTGCATTTCGGGGCGGGCCCCATTCTCTGCGCTCCGCGCCGGGCGTCCGGCTTGTGCGCTCCCTGCCGGAGGCGAGGGGCTGGCGCGCAGTGCTCGCCCCTCACTGCGGCAGTGGGTGTGGACCCGGGTGGGCGAGGAGGGGGAGGGAAGGCTTTGCCTCCTCCCACTTCCACCCCTGCTTTTTTCCCCTCCGAACGCGAGGTGCCATCTTTTTGCGGTGTGTCACGTCTTTACAGTACCGTGCCAAGCCGGGTGGCTGGGCTTAGGAGGACAGGGCGGGGACTGTCATTAACGGGGGGAGCGCAATTAGCGCTGAAGTCTTGGCATTTTGCTGCTGCGGTCTTGAGCACCGGGGTCGTTCACCCGGAATCTTCCTCGGGGGCCCGATGCTTTGTTTGTAGGGCTTACGTGATCTGCGTTGCCAGCACTGGTTTTTGGCTTTTATTCTACGAGGGTGTTTAACCAAGGTTCCCACCCCTCCTCCCGCTTTTTGCCCCTCATTTCCGAGCCCTTTGTTAGCTCTCAGAGCTCGCCGGGGTCGAGGAACTCGAGTTAGCCTCGGGGCACGCATGGAAAGGGCGTCACCCCGCGCAGCCCCCTCCCAGAGCCGGGCCACGCGCCAGAAAGCATCCGCGGGGCTGAAGGGGTGGGGTTCGAGGTCTCCGCGCGCCTTGCGGGTCGCTGCGAAGGATCGATCCCCCTCCCCACACCCGGAACCTCCCGGGGGCCATGCCCCACCAGGCTGCCCACCAAGCAGCACCAGCTCCCGGTGGGAGCTCGCAGGCGGGGCCCCGCTTCGCTTCAAGCCCTGTTGCTTCGCCAGGCAGGAGACTGTGAGGAGGGGCCGTGAGGTTTCCTCGGGTGCTGCGGGCCACACCCATTTTTATCGGGAGGATGGGATGGGGGGCGCCGAGGGGAGGTTGTCATGGAGACCACACGCTCCCCGGGCCCTTGGGGCGTGCCCCGCCCCTTCCCAGCAGAGATGGAGAACCTTGGGACAAGCAGGGCCGCCCCTTCTGGCTCCTGGAGGACGCTGGAGGGAGACCCGCACCCCCAACCCTGAACCCGTGCCTGTTCCTAATTGGACTCTGGCGGCCGCAACCACCCAGATAGGCATCTCTCATGTGTTTTTATTATTATAGCCGAATATTATTTTAGAACTGTGCGGGATTTTCACTTAAGATCCCGAGTTCGCCGCCGCCTTGAAACCAGGAGGCGGGGGTGGGGAGGGAGGGATAGAGAGGCGGGTACGGACCCCGGCGAACAAATCCGAGTCTCGCCCTCCTTCCATTAGCCGGAGCCTGGCCGGCTTTCTGGTTAATTCTATCGCTGGAAACTGGTGCGGGGGCGCAGTTCTGAGAGGGATGAGCATTTTAGGGGCCAAATCGTCCTCTCGAGCCGCGCAGGTTGATCTGAATATTCGGGAATGACTCGGCGGGGGGTCGAGAGGCTGCCCGGGGCCAAGCCGAACCTTCTTTTGGTTTCAGGATCAGAGCCTCCCTGCAGAGCTGGGCTCGGCACGGGTGCGTTGGAGAGGTTCAAGGATCAATTCGAGCATCTTCCCCGCCCCTCCCCACAATAGAGCTGGACAGGAGATTCTGGTACCAGAGAGAGCGAGGGTCTTAGAGCGGCCCTGGGAACGGGGAGCCCGCGGCCGCCGCTGCTCGGGATGGACCGGGGGCAGAGAGGTCATCTCCTGTCGGTTGGGGGAAAAGGAGCGAGGCAGAGGCAAGCGCGTTTAGCTCAGTGCCGGGAACAAAGCGCAGTACGGCATCCGCGATTTTACTCTTTGGAAATGTGTTGGCGGTTTGGTAAGGGCTCTCTGGTCGGCAAGGCCGGGGTTGGGGGGCTGTTAACGGAGGAATCCCGGGGGCCTGGGGACGGTCCTTCGTACGCGTATCGGGAAATTCCATCCCTGGCTCTGGGCGCGCTTTAATTACACGGCTTCCTACCCGGGAACGCGAGAGATGCCCCGTTTGCGCCTACGCTCCGACCCTGAAGCTGGGGCCAGCCGCCGCGCCTGGGTTTCCTGGGTTTCCCATCGACTCCTGTCACCGAATCTCCAGCAGGTGGGGGCTGTTTTAAGTCCCGGGAGGCCCCGCTTGGCGTCAGGCGGTCCGGACCCATAACTCCATGCGCGAGTCTCCGGCTGGTCCGGGTTGGGATGGATGGTGGGACGTGGGACAGCGAATGCCAGCCTGCTCCTCTGGGCCACCGCGCGCTCAGGCTCAACAGGACAGCTTTGAGTTTTATCTGATCCCCGTCCCTCCAACTGACCGATCCTACGACAGAGAGAGAAATGAATGCCTTTCCTACCATAATTAATTAAGGTATTTTTTGTGTTTTATGATGCTGCTTATGTTTACCACATAAGAATTGCTTATCCATTCCTCCATCTCCAGACCTTCCCCTAAGTAAATTAATAACATGCTTCTCCCAGAGCCCGCTTCAGAGTGGCTCTTGAAGCTAATCAATTTCTTGACCAACATTTGCTTCTGTAACAGCTTGTGTTTACTGCAGTAACCTAGCTTGACTCTTGGCGTTCAACGTTGGACAATTTGGGGGAGGTGTTTGTTGGTTATGCTGGTTTTGGGTGAATGACAGTCTGTGTCTGTCCGACCTCCTCTGCACACGCCCATCTTTGAGTGGTTTCTAATATCAGGCACAGATCCCCCAACAGGAACAAAAGAAAAGGGTTATTCCCACAAATTACAAGAAGAAAACTTACAATCAGTTTGATTCAAGAAGGGTCAGATTTATTCCAGTTGGGAAAGTGTCCTTTCTATTGAACATGCCCTTTGACCCACATGCCCTTTGAGAGCTGTGGCAGCCTGGAGATGTGGTAGGATTGGGGTGCCCTTTGTTTAGGCTGAGTTTTCCTTCTGCCCTTTTAACATCAATTCATGAAGCCCATTGGTTGAAAATTTTAAGAAATTGTTTTATTCTACCTTCCCTCGGCATTTATGTGTATAAATATATGTATATGATTTGGGTGGCTCCACAGCTGTGTACATGAACATATGTTAGTTTTCAATTAGATTGTGCCTTCTATTTAGTTAATTAGTACCTTCCTTCCTCTCACCTTGAAATCAAGAATCACTTATAAATAAAAGCACCCTTAGGGGCTTAGAACAGTGCTAGACATACAAGAGGTCTTTGGGCCCTCCTCATTTAACAAATAAATGGATAAAACGGGAAAATGCAGGTTTAAAAAGGTGGTGAAAAGAAAGCAGAATGGGAGGAGGGCTTTATTCAAGGTCATGGCATCAAGAAGTTTTGGGGACAAATCCAGTCCAGTTTGTCCCCTGCTCTGTGTCAAAATGACACCCAAAAGCTGCCTGTACCCCTTGGTGCACCTCCATGCCCTCCCCTCCCCCACTGCTTCCCTGCCTTCTCCCTTCCTGCTGCTTATGGCCCCACAGCCTGGTCCCCACTGCTCACCTCACCCTCATTGGCCAGCAGAGTGGAAAGGGGAGAAACCACACTCCACCCCCAGGGGGAGGAGGACCCTGCCCTGCGACCTTTAGCCCTGCAGGTGCTGTTCCTGCAGGAGGTCAGAGGGATGGAGGTGGGAAACCCCCTTTGCCTCTGCTCCTTCTTCTTCCTCCCACTTTTCATCATCCCACTTAGAGGACCCCCCAACCCCCTCCACATCCCCAGAAACACCCACCTGCCCGACCATTCCTAACTTGCCAGCCTAGATGCTTCCACTAGTGACTTGGAGCTGGCATGGGAGGGCCACCTCAGCAGGTGAGAGGAAGGGAAAACCCCAGCCTCACCATCTGGGCTGCAGCAGGGAGAGGAATCCGATGTTCCAGCTGGGACTCTCAGCTGGTTTCCTGTAAAACAGTGGTTCTCAAGCCCTGGGGCCACTTTAATGTCTAGAGACATTTTTTTTGTTGTTTTCACAACTGGGCAGGGGTGCTACTGGCATCTAGTGGAAAGAGGCCAGGGATGCTGCTAAACATCCTACAAGGCCCAGGGTGCGTAAATGATCTGGCCCCAAATGTCACAAGTGTCAAGGTTGAGAAGCCCTGCTATAGAAACATTGTTACCCTGGCACCATCATCTTAGTGGCATCTTACATTCATTGAGTACCTTCTTGGAGGCACTGTTCTAAGTGTTCCC